CGAACTTGTAATGCCAATAATGAGTTTTTAAGGTCGTCTTCAAAATATCCTCCTCTCGAACCCTCATCTGATGATATCCAAATCTCAGGTCGATCCTGGAAAACCAAGATGCCCCCTGCAACTGGTCAAAGAGCTCATCAATCCTGGGTAATGGATAGTGGTTCTTCACCGTTAACTTGTTCAACTTCCGCTAATCAATGCACATCTAGTGTGAACCATCCCTTTTCTTGACAAAAAGGATTGGGGCACGGCGAACTACTCGGCCGAATGAACCCCTTCCCTAGAAACTCCTGAAGCTGAGAGGATAATTTATGCATCTCGGGCGGCGCGAGACAATATGGTGCCTTGGCGATAGGTGCCGCCCCCGGAATCAGATCGATCAGAAACTCCACCTGCCTCTCGGGAGGTACACCTGGTAACTCCTCAGGGAAAACATCAGAAAAGTCACACACTACTGGAACATTGGAAACAGAAATCGACCCCTTCTCCACAACCCTAGTATCCACCACATATGGCAGAAAACCTATACACCCATGCTGCAAACTCTGTCTTGCCCTGGCGGCAGAACAGAAAGTTGATCCCGATCTACTACCCTCACCATAAATAGTAAGCACTCCACCACATGAGTCCTGAACTGTCACTAGCTGTTGCTCGCAATCAATCAATGCCCTAAATGGCTCAACCAATCAATGCCGATTATAACACAGACATCCCCCATTGTTATCAACACAATATCAATTAGAAACTCGACACCAAAAATATCCAAAACATAGTCACGAAAAACATCGGTAGCAAAAACTGCATGCTCATCAGCTATGGAAACCCTTAATGGCCGAATCAAGGCCTTGCACCTGATGCTAAAACAACGACTAAAGGATAAAGACATAAAGCATTGACTCACATCCGAGTCAAATAGCACCAAAGCAGGCACATAATTTACAAGGAAAGTATGTAACATGAAACACAAGATAAGCATAAACGTATCAAATCAACAACATAAATAAAGAGATACATACCAATAACAACATCAGGTGCTACATGGACCTCCTTGTTAATCAACTGAAAAGCTCTCCCATGAGCTCTCGGAGCCTCGGCCTTCCCCGGACGACCATCAGTAATATGTATGGTTAGCAGGAGCAGGGGCCTGAGCTGAACCCTGAGTAAGCTAAGGACACTCGGCCTTCCAGTGGCCAGTTTGGTTGCAATGAAAGTAAACTGAAAATCCCTTAGGTCAATCCTTCAACATATGCCCCTCCTTTTCGAATTTGAAACAAATCCCCGACCGACGAGATCCCGCGTGACTGTTACCGCACTTGCCACAAGTGCGGCCCTTCTGGCCTCCTGCTCTAGAAAAAGTGGGCTTGAACCGCTAGGTTACCGGCTGCAACTGTACTGGCCTCCTATCTCTCTCCTGAGACTCTCCCTCCTCCCTCGTCTAGGTCTCCAGCTCGATCTCCCTCCTCCTGGAACTGGTCTGCAGCTCAGCCAATGTCCGATATGATAATTTCGCCACAAACTCCCGAATATCCCTCCTCAAAATGGTCAAGTACCGGATCACACGTGCCTGCTCTGTAGACACGTGCTTAGGGCAGAATAATGCCCTCTCGTGGAACATCCTCATGATCGTTCTCACCGCCTTTGTCTTCTGCTATAGAGACAGAAACTCCTAGGCCAATCATTCCCTCTCCACCTCGGGAATAAACTCGTCTCAAAACAGCTCGGTAAATCTCTCCCAAGTCAATGCAGCATGCTCTGTTGGAGAATAAATTGTCGTCACAAACTTCCACCAGTGCTTCACCCCCAAGCGAAGCTGGTTTAGCGCAAATCAAACCTTCAGGTTCTCAGGGCATGAATAGGTATAAAAACATCCCTCATCATTAGAGATCCATCTCATTGTAACAATTTGGACCTAAGTCCCATCAAACTCTGGCAGCTTCATGTTGCTGAACTCTCGAAACATCAATGAATCACCCCCTAAGGCCTCGCAAATGTAAGGGCTACAGTGGTTGTGGTAGTAGCAGCCTCAATGACGGCACATAACGGTCGTCAAAAGTCTCGATCAGCATGGTCTTAACAGACCCGAACATCTCTAGGATGACCTCCCTGATAGTTGTAGCCAGCTCCTCAACAATGATCCTACGGATCTCATTGTCACTAGTACTCGGCCTCTCGGGGTTACTGGAGCCTGAACCTCAGATAACCACCACATTCTCTTAAACATAAACGCGGAAATCATCAAGGACAGGCTAAAGCTCATGCATAACACTTACACATCCCTTCAAGCTCCTTGATATCCTAAGATTCCTTATTGGGTCACATATAGATCCGGTGCTTTTAGTAGTACGGGCCTAATACTACTTTCCACACCAATCTGTATTTGTCCCAAGTCATCTTCTTAAGACCCTAAGTTACAAGTATTCTATCCTACATGGATATTTAGCTTTTCCCTTAGCGATATTCTCAAACTAAACATCTAGGCACTCATTCTAAACTACTCCTCAATGCCAAATTGCCTCAAGGATCTTCGCCATTCTCGCAATCTGCTCTCTGCACACCAATCGTACATGATATTGGGCTCAATAGACAGTCAAATAAATGATTTTTCCTCAAGTCTACAACCAAACAAGGAACAGGAAGAAAGGCTAAATCATGCATTCTAAGGCTATAAAGCCTTAACCTTGTACAACTAAGTAGGATACATAGAGCAAATAGCAAGGATAGGTTCAATCAAAGAAGGGACCTCCTAGGCTAAGGCATCATGAATCAGGGAACTCTAGCTCATCCTCCTGAAGATACCTAGCCTACGATATAACATGAAGTTCTAACAGTTGAAGAATAACTCATCTCATAACATAATCAAGTAAGGGTATTTTGGGAAATCACCGCTTGTTATTTGGCTGACTGTACACACTGCTTCGTCCTGCTTGTCTCTTAAAATCCCTTTACTCTTTTGGAAAAATCATTGTAAGAAATCATTTCATTTTGAAAAATTTATCAATTCCTCAGTTTGAGTCCAGACATATCCGAGGGTGTTCCCGAATCCCTCAAACCAAGGCTCTGATACCAACTTGTAAAAGCTCAAATTTTCAAACAAAATTTTCATTTTTAAGTTTACCAAAAACATAGTTTTAACATTAACCCATGTCAAATACATAACATCATAAAACAAAGTCAGAGTATCAAA